TTCCATAGAAAAGCCTGGCCGAACCAAACCACACCACATTCATAGCCTCTCCGGAGGGAAAATTTTGCGAGGATATATCACTCTTTTTTTTTCTACACAGGCCGTCAGAAAACCTCAATCGAAATCTTCGGAAAACAAGATTTTAGTCCAAACTTGCTTAGATCAATTGATGCGATTTCCTCCGAAACTAAACTGTTCTGTGCCTTGTCAGAAGTTCTGAACCAGTGGCAGGTCTTTTCGCAAGCAATCCGGCTTCTGAAAGTCTTCGTCTTACAGTGCTTAAACTAAAGTAAATGTTTAGGTAGAAATGCTCCAAATTCCAGCCCCTGCTACTTGGGAATGGTTGCGGTTTAGTGCAGAGGCTCCTAGCGGGAACTTAGAGAAGAGGCTGCTCTTCTATCTGTGACCTTCGCCGGTACACTTGCGTACATCGTTATAAACCTCACGGGATACGAAGGATCGAACCATCGAAGCGTATAGCGTTGAGGACGCTTAGACAAGGCTGACGGAGTCCCTTAAATACGCGAGAAGTGGCGGATGGGAATGGATAGTGGTCGGATGTGTAACGTTGTGTAAGTATGTAATGTAAACGAATGGCGACCTTTACCGAAGGCAGTCTCTTCTAGGAGGTAGTTAGCAATTCTACTTTAATCAAACCCGCGGCCGAAGCGGATCCGGAAGTTCTTACGCAGGAGGAGCCCCAATATGTTGGAGATAGAGTGACCTTCTCTATCTAGGGAGTGCGCGGGAGGCCAGGCTGATGTATTTCGGCTTAGGTAGCCCTTGGCGCGCGACATACGGTTCGGTGCTTAATACGAACCCAACCACTCGGAATGGGCAAGCGGGGAGCGAGGTTCGTCTTGACCCCTCAGGGCTGGGACAGCTTCTACACCAACGCTGCGGCATTAACACACATCAGTCTTATGCGGAAGTGCGTCAGCTCTCATCTCGAGAACCAAAACGTCCGATAAGGCCTAATCGGCCAGGTGCGGACGTTAAAGATCCTCATTGTCCTTTTAAGGCCATCCGAGTATTTGGGAAACTATTGCTTAAACTGAAAGTAACATTTCTAACTTGTTTACGTCGTTGCTTGATGTCAACACTGATAGATTGTCGATTATGGAGTACATTCGAAACAATAAAACGATCATCTCTCTTAGATGACACGATGCCGATCTGATCCATGCCTTCTTGAGTAACCTACAGTATATCTTGGTAGCGATGGAAGACCCTTCGGACTGTTGTTCTGGCTAAATACCCTAGCCACATACCTTTGACTTCTTCTACATCCTCCAATAATGGCGAATAGCCGAATCTGTATCACTTAAAACCATCACTCAAACAAATTTGCAACTTAAAAATGGTACAACTTAAAACATTCAAAACCACCGGAACGTCAGAAAGATGCTTTACAGATAAACCATCAAAGAAGACGTTGACTATTCAAAGATTCAATTACAAAATCCAATTGTATAAAAAGGACGTCTAATCATTTCAAATGGACCAAATATCAATGGAGGATTGCTTAAGAGATATTAAAAATATTAAGGGTGGCCACGTTTTTGCTTCTGTGTATGTGTACTTTTTCGTTATATTTATTACTTATTTTAATGTAAATCAAATTAAAAGAAATAAAAAAAATTCATGTTTTAATAAAAATATTTAATTATGGCGATTTGAAAGAAAATTCACCAAACACCGGAAAATTATTTAGTGATTGATTAAAATTTAACTAACAATTGTTTATCAGTCCTTGAGTATGTATTAAATGTAAAAGACATAAAATACAAAACTGCAAAAAATATGTAGGTAAATGCCGAAAATTCCAAACAAATGCAGTAACATGCTGGTTTAATTTCTCATTGTCTAAAATTACGAAACTTTAATAATTGGTAAAAATTTTATTTCCCAGAATCGCATAACAGATAGAAAGGCTACAGTCGATTGTATAGTTTGTAGAAAGAAAGTTAATAAACGGAGAAAAATTAGGTTGTTATGTCATTTTAACAACTCCAAATCAAACATCAGTTTAACTTTAAAATATCCTGTACTGTTTAATACAATTTTTAAGCCTTAATAATTTTTGGTGACTTGTAATCATGATAGGAGGAATTTATGAATATTTTTTTATTTTATTCCACGAAACTGAACCCTTTTAAAATTAAAAACAACTGAAGAAGGGGAGCGGAAAGCATCCCGAAATTGATACATGTAAATAAAAATATTTTTATGGAATTGTATTTCAGTTGCCTCTGTGTACAGAATAAAATAAATAATAAGATAAAAAATAAAATATAAATACAACCTATTGAAGAAAAAGTAACAATAACGGTATTATAAATCAGACTTATGCACGCCTATTTTATGTTTAAATAAATATTACGAGTTGGGAGAGTTACCTCGTGACGGGCACGTTCCTGTAAAACAACCATAGCCTGGGTAGAGAGGCTTCAAACTCGGACGGCAATCGCTTCAGCCCGTCCGAGTTCGTCAACTGGGACGTCTGATCAGAGTCAGCGGTTTTCGCCTCATGTATACGGAATGGTCTAGAACGGCCTAGCCAGTATGTACAAAGAGGATCTGTATGTAATTTGGCACACTCCGGGGTGAAGGAGATTATGCCTATCTCGTCTGTACCGACTTCCTGAGCGTGGTTTCGGCTATTCGTGACAGGTTCTCCATGGACCTTCTCACCCTGCTCTAATTAGAGAAATATGCTGAATTGGAGCGTCTTGGAAAATCGGTAGTAGTCGCCGTGGTGCAACGGATGGGATGCGGAAGTGCTCCAGATAGATTCACGGCGATCCGGCCTGGTGACGCTGTACCACGAGCAGTTAAGAACGCAATAAACAAAGTCAGTTGGCTAGACGTCCGAACAGCTTTCGCCTGTCAAAAGCACGACTGAGCGATGGTCCCCGAAAGTCTAAGACGCATGGAAGAGATCGTGTACATCATTTGCGGATATACCATAACCGATTAACACAGGGACTCCTGCTTGGGAGAGTGGGTTGTTGGATCCCATGTTCCGATTTTTAAGTCAAGTGTAACGTCAACTGTAGATATTTTAAATATTACATAAATTATTGTTTGCACTACAGTATGTATGGATGTATATATTTGTTTGTGTTAATGAGTGAGAGGGCCGGCGGCGTAATATAGAGGTCTCACAGTGCTTTTTCTTATTTTTATTTATTTTCTTTCAAACGAGGGTATGCTCATTGTTACATATGTTGTGAATTGTCTCTGGCAATCCAACAAGGTTAGACAGACCAGGGACGATCATGTGTTCAGAAATCTTCAACAACAGTGATTTTTGTAATTACTATGATAAATACGTTTATGTTTTAGTGGTCTAATTGACCAAATTACTTATTTCGATCAATTATTTTTTTATGTGAGGTCTCGGTTGAGATGAAAAAGTTAGTGTCACGAGCGGGATTCGAACCCACGACCTTCAGCTCAATAAGCAGCTACGTATTACCACTTGAGCTAATGACACCCACGACCTTCGGCCGGGGTTCCGAATCCCGCTCGTAACACTATTTTTTCCATCTCAACCAAGACCTTACATAAAAAGGATAATTAATTGAAATTATGACGAAAGTTCATCCCGTCATTTCATGCGTTCCATTATTATAAAAATATAATGGAAACCGTTGTTTATGCAGTGCTGTAATAAACCAACATCTGCAGTTTTACACGATTTTATTTTTAAAAACGTTTTCAAGGGGTTACTTTGTCAGAAATATCTTAGATCCGTTCTCCTTGGGGTACAATTAATTTGATAGCAAATTCTTAGTAATTTATCGGTTCGAGCGGTGTCCGCGACCTCTGTGACTTAAAATCTTGCGGGACAATTGGACCAGAAAAATTCGTGATTGTATTTCGCAAAGAATCGGCTTGTTGCCACATTGCGGGTCGCAATCCACCCCAGCCTTGGGTTGTTCTAATTAGTGTCGGGGGTTGAGGAGATGTCCGTCCGTCGGACCTCGTGATCGCCCTTGATCGTAGCCGGACGGGCTGAAACATAAACGGGATTGAAGCAACACTTTCACGTCGGATCTTTATCGAAAACGAGAGGGTGGCCGGTGTAAAAGCACTCCTCTCCGCTTTTATCTGGCCTAGCCGAGAGCTCTCATCATTCTCTTCCCCACTGTGATTGTCTCGGAAAAATCCGTCATACTCGTAACTGAATAATTGCTATGAATCTAAACCGTTGCCCGGTCGTGCCTACACTCAAACCGTAGCAAAACTCAAACGTCGGTTCCGCCTTTCTGAGTTATATAATCTGCCATTTTGATTAAAAAATGTTCCCACGAAAACAATTCTTTACTTCGAAATTTACATTACACAAATTATTACATAGAAATTATATTCGAGAACCTTTTACTTCTCAATTCCGTATTAGTTTTGTATATTTTGCGTACTCTCTTACTTTCTGCTTGCTCATCTCTCAACGCCTCAGATTTACTTTCTTATCACTCTTTCTTTCTCTCTTTTTGTTCTCCTCTAGTTCTAGTTCAACATTTTTTTATAAATCCATTTTATGTTTTATCCATTGTTCAAATTTTTTATAAGTTCACTAATTTCGTGGTCCGCTTGACCAATTAATATATTACAATTAATTAAGGTTTTTAGTTGAGATAAAAACGTCAATGGCACGAGCGAGATTCGAACCCACGATCTTCGGCTGATTTGCTTTTGAATTTGGATTGAAAAAGGAGGGAAAATTAAAAAGTTGTGGTTGAGATGGGAAGTTGGTGTCCGAGTGGATCGAGGTCACGATAGCTCAAGTGGTAGAGCAGCGGCGTATCTAGCCGAAGATCGTGTGTTCGAATCCCGCTCGTGCCATTGACTTTTTTTATCTCAACTAAAAACCTTAATTAATTGTAATATATTTTTTTATAAGATTCATTCTTATTAACATCGTTTGCATGATAAATTTAAAATTTTGAATATACTGGTTAAATTTAACAACTATTCTCTTCTTTTTTTTATAGGGGTATTTGCGGGAAAAACACAAAGGCAGAAAACTTTTATTTTTTTGAATAGCTTCTTATGAACCAAACAGCTTCGATCTAACTCTCCAGGATAGCGGGATCCGAACAGGGGCTTCCAAAAGGCAAGTTACTTACTTATCAATGTACATTCCTTGAAATGTTTGTGGAGTTGAATTCAACCAATTTATATATTTATGATAGTAAATTAATTGCTCATGGTAAAGAATGACTTGAGGAATAAATCATTTATTTTATTTTAGAGAGAATGTTTAAACGATCTATCAGAAAACCTTAAAAGAACGTAAAAATATGGGGTGAACAGAAGTTAATCTCACCCTGTATTAAAGTTAGGTGATATTCAAATAATGGCAATAGTAACTACTGTAAAAATGCAACCTTGGTGACAAAAACCACAATAGTTTTACAATCAATTCCTGAATTAATTAATTACCATCAATTAACTAATTAATTATACCAACAGTTTAAAAACTACAATTAACAACATATATGTATACCATGGCTTTAGCTAACCTTTACCACTATTTGTTTATTGTAACGGGTATTTCGTGTATAATAATTTACTCTTAGAAATTATTCGTCATAAATCTATTCGTAACTCTTGGGCTCTTCATTTTTGAAACTTTTAAAAATTGTTAAATTTAAAATTAGTACAAAATTAAATTTTCAAGCTCATGGGAAAAATTCTTGGTAGAATTTGGCAAATTTCATAACAACTTGCAAAAAAGAGTAAAAATCAAACAAAACACATAAAAAAGAGACAATAAACATAATGAACAACCAAGTTTCGTTGAATTTTTATTTTTATTTTTTTTTTGTCTGGGGTTAGTAAATTATTTCGTCCAATTATGCCGATTTGGTGTTGAGTAGTTTTAAAAATTTTTAGTGTTTGCTTTTTAACAAAAATTAAATTGACAATTCTAGAAAGGAGGATACGAACCCGACTTCTTAAAAGATATTTAACGCTCTTTCCAACGCTTTTTTTGGATTCTCCCAAAAATGGATAGCTCAAAAGCTAAGAGTAAATTTATACGAAAACGTAGATAGTCAAAAAAAGTAAAACGTTAGGAGTACTTTAGTGCGAATAACTAACACAGTGTTTGGCCGGGGCGAAGAAGGGGCTAAAGATGCCGCCGGAAGACCCCATGACACTTCTCAACCTGTTCACCCAGCGGATATAAACCTATTAATTAGTACGTAGAAGGATAATGGAGCAACCGCTGGGCTCGTAAAAATAGATATAATGCTGCCAAACTGTGGCAGGTTATGAAAGACGTCGGTCCCTGGCTCACAGAGAAACGGTTCGAGAAGAGAAAAAGCTATACTGACAAAAAGTTCATAGGTCATAGAAGAAGTTCTTACCGGCACCTTTTGGCCGGAAAGAGACTGTGTAAGCGCCCATTATGCAAGGAAAAGAATAGCAGTCGAACACTTTTTTAATTGTACAAGGCTTCACATATGTAGGCAATATTTTGGCATAATGTTAGAGATGTGCGTAGTTCCGGCACAGCAAGGGGCACAGACCTCTGTACGAGCACCTCAGGGCTACAGAGATTTTTAAATATACATCGTGTTTGAGTTGATTTATGTGGAATATGTGTTAATTTATTAGAATGAAGGTAATTTATTAGCGTGAAAGGTTGTTGTTGTTTAACCGAGCCCCGAGGCATATCGAATACTCTCGGGTGGACTGGAGAGTAAAAGTAACTTATTTGCGAGAATGTACTTAGTTCACTACGGCCCGAGGAATATCGAGTACTCTGGGGGGAGTGAATGTGACCAGAATTTTATATCTATAATTTATATCTGGTGGTTTGTTTATTGGAAATAATGAAATTTTTTTGGCAACAATGGAGTACGTGCAATTATGTGCCTAATGCCTAAAAAGAAAAATAAGTAACATAAAAACCTCAGCTGATGGCCGGCCCCTAAATTTTCCAAATTATTATTATTATTTAATCCACTCTCTCTCTCTCTCTCTCTCTCTCTCTCTCTCTCTTTCTCTCTCTCTCTTTCTCTCTCTCTCTCTCTCTTTTCTCTCCCTCACCCTCACCCTCTCTTCTCATCATTCTCTTCTCTCTCACACCCATTCTTTCTCTTTTTCTTTTCTCTCCCTCAATCTCATCTCTCTTTCTCACTCTCTCTCTCTTTTCTCTCCTTTACTCTCTGCTCTCACTTTCTCTCTCTCTTTCTCACACACACACACACTCATTCTCTCCCACTCTCCTTTTCTCTCTTCTCTCCCTCACCCTCTCTTCTCATCATTCTCTTCTCTCTCTCTTTTCTTTCCCTTACTCTCTCTCTCTCTCNGTAGCGGAATGCTACAGAGGTAAACAAACAATATCATTTGGAAGAGGATTAATAAGTGTTGACATTCATACAAATGAGTAATCCTGTAAACGTAAACAGAATATTTTATATAGATTTTTTTTAATGAAAACTTAAAATCCTGCATTATTTTCCGGACAACCCAATAGTACGGAGTATCACCTCCTGTTGCTTTGATCACCGCTTGCATTTCATATGGCGTCTATTTTATGAGGTTTTGTATGCAGTGCTGTGGAATATTTTCATTCTCCTCGAACAGCGCAATTCTTAATTCCTCCAAATTTTGTGGGAGATTTTTTACCCCTTACTCGTCCCTAAGGTGTTCGATAGGATTTAGGCCGTTACTACATACTGGCCATTCCTTACATTGAATTGGAGCCTTTCCACGTAGACTCAACGATCCTAGCTGTGTTGGGCCTTGCATTGTCACGCATAAAAATAAAACCGTCGTCAATTAGAGGGATGGAAGGAACAACTAATGATAGAACATCTTCACTGTACCACGCAGCTGTTATGATCCCTCGATGAAGATCAAGTTTGAGCGACCTTCCATAGAAAAGCCTACCCAAACCAAACCACAGACCCCTAGCTTCTATGTAGTGAAAGTGTTGCGGAGATCCGTCTATCAGTCGTCAGAAGACCTCAAACAAAACCTTGTCTCATTCGAAAACAAGATTTTAGTCCAATCTTGCTTATACCAATTGATGTTATTTCTTGAGAAACTTTACCGAGCTGTTCCTTGCATTGCCAGAAGTTCTGGTCCACAGCCCTTCTCGCAGGTAATCTAGTCTTCGTCTTACCGTGCGTAAACTGATTAACATTTCTAACTTGTTGAAGTCGATGCTTGATGTCATCATTGATAGATTGCCGATTACGGAGTAAATTCGGAACAATAAAACGATAATCTCTGAGACTCGATAGCGATCCATGCCTTCTTGTGTAACCTACAGTATCTTGGTAGCGATGGAAGACCCTTCGGACTGTTGTTCTGGCTAAATACCCTAGCCACATACCTTTGACTTCTTCTACATCCTCCAATAATGCCGAATAGCCGAATCTGTATCACTTAAAACTATCTCTCAAACAAATTTGCAACTTGAAAATTGATCAACTTGAAAAATTCAAACCATCGGAACGCCAGGAAAATGCTTTGCAGATAAACCAAAAAAGAAGACATTGACTATCCAAAGATTTATTTACAAAATCCAATTGTAAACACAAGTGGGATATTTCTATCTTTTTTTATATACATCTAACCCTTTCAAATGGACCAAATATTGTTGTAACAATGGAGGATTGTGGTCACATATGTTGACTTCTTCCACCTAGGAACTATGATTTTGCATGTTAAGCGAGACCATTTTTTTGCCTCTCAAGGTAGATGAACAAAAACGTGTCGTACACTTTTAATCATGTTATAAAACAATATTTCGATTGGAAAAAAACACTTGTCCGTGTTGTTGCATTTGGAATATGCATTATAAGGAAAAATGTGCGGGCCTAAAAGATAAGTTAACACCAGTGTCAGATAAGTAAGAAATAATTTCTTTAAATATACATCTATATTATCATAAAATAAATGAATACTGTAGTATACTGTAATGAACGAATTCTAATGCTTCACACGTGCTGATAACTTAAATATTCATGTAGATAATAAGATAACGGAAATAAAAGAGAACGTATTGAAAATAAACTCGGATTTGATTTAGGTCTTAGATTAAATGCAAGTAAAAGCAATTTTATACTATCTGGATAAGTGTGGCCTCTTAGGAATTCGTAACGCCTCCAACATTATTGCTGTATGGTATGAATAAAGGAATTTGAAAGCACGTTGGGAAACTTAAAAACAAAAAGAACTATATCTTTTTGTTTTCTAACGTTCCCTGTTTAAAACATTCAGTATACTGTTGTGTCATTGTTATTTTATTATAAAGTTATATTATAGTTTACAATTGATTAAATAAAGTTGAAATCTTTCATTAAAAGAAAATTATTTTTCAAAAAGGCGATTAATATATTTTAATTGTTCATTCATTATATTACTTGGCAATTATAAGAAAAGTGCCTTAAAACTTATCCACGTAAAGCTAACACGATTGCTTTTTTTAATCAAGGATTTTGTGTGTGCATAACTGAATAAAGCTGTAAAAACTTATTATTGTTAATAATTTCAATTAAGTATTCTTTGTATGTAAAGTCTTGGTTGAGATAAAAAAAGTCAGTGTCACGAGCGGGATTCGAACCCACGACCTTCGGCTAAATACGCCGCTGCTCTACCACTTGAGCTACCGTGACTTCACGGCGGAATTAGCTGAAGGTCGTGGGTTCGAATCCCGCTAGTGACTCTGACTTTTTTATCTCAACGAAGACCTTGCATAAAAAGAATAATTAATTGAAAGAAGAAACTTGGTCAATTGACCACTAAAACATAAATAGATTGTTAATAATATAGCTAACAAATTGGGGCTTTGTGCTTCGACATCAGGCTGCAAAACGTTCTCTTAGAAGTTTGATACATTTTTTCCTTTTATTTGTTTTTACAACCGTAAAATAATTAAAACAGAATTCATCCAGGGGTGAGCTTCAAATAGAAGAAGAAGCTCACTTTTCCAATTTTCTTCGTCAAAATGTTGGGACATCACGTGTCCATATGCGCTTAAGTCGCCGGGGAGGATTATCTGGGATGGTAGAGGACCTGAGTTAACGAAATATCATTGACATGTGTGGAAAGGGTTTATGGACACTTTTTTAATATGTTTATACTATTT